TCTTTCTCCTCCACGTAGGCAAAAGTGTCATGTAAGCGGGCCATAAGCCCACTATTATACTTGCTCTTAAAGAGGTTTGGGAAGGGTTTTGTACACCAAGCACATGACACATCCACCGTTAACAAATAAACAATCACCACTTGCAAAGTTTAGTAAACCCTATGCTTCAATGTGATGGTATTCTACAATTCACTCTAAATATATATGAATTATGAAATAAATTCAGCAAATTAAGTATTTTGTAGCCATTTCGTACTAATCAACCATAGCATGAGGAGTGACGGGGAGAAGCACGACCGGCTGAACAACCCAACATACTTTCAGGAGCCGAAGATACCCCAAGGCTGGTGTAGCGTGAAGTATGAAAGGAAAGAATAATGGATATAAGAATGACACACAGGAGAAGAGAAGACCTATGAAGTCAATGCCGGAACGAGCAAAATAGGGTAGTAGATCGGTTGCTTTTGTATAGTCGTATTGAGAATGCGACTGCTGTATGGCTAGATCGTGGACCACCGTGCATAGAGGAACTTTTGCCTTTCGATTGTAACCCTGTTCTTATGGAATAAAACTCTTTACCCTCGCAAAAAAAATGCCCGAACGAGAAGCACAGAAATAAAGAAAAAATCATCAAGAATAAAAAGGGGAATACAGAAAGAGCATGGGCCCGGGTCGCTTGACGGCCCCACAGCAATAGCCACGTTTTATGGGCATTTCCTAACGGGCGCCTGAAGCGCCCATTTTTTCTGTTGCCGCAAACGGGCGCACACCGCCGCGCCGCGCTGGGCCGGCCCGTTTCCTTCTTTTTCTTTCTGTTAAAAAACTGCAGCAAAAATTTTATTTCGAATGTAAGGGCTCGAACACACGATCTCTCCATTCAAACAGGAGCGCACTAACCACCATACCACCATACTTATTGTGCCCATTTACTTATTTTTCGTTCTTTTATTTGCGTAAGCCGTGAGAGCCCACCAAACCAGCTTTCATTGCTCGCTGATTTCTGGGCGTTTTTTTTCTTTTATTTCTGTTTCCTTTTTTCTTTTCTTTTCTCATTTTTTTATTTTATTGAACATGCTAATTTCTTAAATTCGTGAAATTTTTAAAATTGAATGAACTTTTATCAAATCGATGAACTTTTTAAAAAATTTGATGAAAATTTTCAAATTCCATAATTTTTTCAAACGTGAACAATTATTGAGAACATGAACAAAGATTTATTTACGACGAGCGATTTTCAGATATACACTGAACATTTTTTCGGTGTACGATGAACAATTTTTAACTACACAGCGAACATTTTTGTGATATACATTGAAATAATTTAAAACATATTTATACATTTGTTTTATATAAGATGAACAAGTTTTATACATTGATCATTTTTGTAATATAATCTGAACAATTTTGAACTACACATTGAACAATTTTGTGATATGCGCTGAAAAATCATTTAAATACCCATTGAACATTTTTTATGTACACTTAACAATTTAAAATGGTGAACAAAATTTGAAAAAGTGAATAAATTCAAAACTATGAACACATTTTGAAATCACGAACAAAAAATGAAAAATACATTTTTTAATTCCATGAACATTTTTCAAATTTGATGAACTTTTTCTAGATTTCGACGAACTTTTTTCTAATTCAATGAACTTTTCTCAAATTTGATGAACCGGACACTCGTTCTTATACTGTTGGCGCTTCAGCAGTTCACTAAAGCTAAGTTGTTGTAGTGGTTAGGGATACTAGTACAGGTAGACTTGGTCTCTAGTTCGAATCCTGAGAGGCGCACCTTTTTGCTGTTTTCTCATTAATTTTCACTGCGCATCGTTCGAATCCTGAGAGCGGTTACACAGGCGCGGCTTAGGAGCTCCCACGTTTATGTACTGATGAAATATTGGCATGCTCTCTAGTGGGCTTTAAGAAGTTGGGTGCGAGCTGCGAACTTGTAAAGGACAAAGACAAACAAAGGCTGGACCCAGTAGATGATGAGAACCAAGGCATACGTACATGATTGATTGATTGCTACCCCAACTTACTGAAACATCAGAGGACCACTTCGTTTGGATTATAATTTTTTTGGAACAAGTCTTCGTTTGGAATAAGATACCGGACGAAAAGCAGGAATGGTGGCAAAGTGAGGGCGGCGCAAACATTTACTCGACGGTGAAGAAGTGAAGCAGAGACGGGCGGCACGGTAGAACTACAACACAGAGGCTGCTGCTGATATCTTGTTGGGGTTTAATTATAAATTTTTTGAACTGGCATGAAGATTTTTTTTTTGAACTGGCGAGTTTAATTATAAATTCAACCGCTCAGTTTTGATTGCCAGAGGGAGGGGCGCCATTCCTGGGCAAGGGAAGAGAGTGTGCAATTCTCAAAGTCGGTTGCATACACCGCTGGAGTCACTGAAACCTTCAGACTTGTTACATCTTCCATGACCGTCTCATTTTCCACACGCCGTCCACTGGGCATGGCTGCCAGCCTGACTTCTCCACCGAGCGCGCCGCAGGAAGCATAGCTATCTCTGGACCTGGTCCTTCACACTACTGCAGCAGATTACAGGCACGCCCGATTGCAGGTCAGGATCGACCGATCGAGCGACCGGCGCCGGCGCCGGAGACGGACGCCCAGCGCAGACATCGCAACGGTCGCGCACTGCTGAGCCTGAGAGCTTCAATGCTAGCTTTGACATATCGTCGAACAGCATGGGTGCACTGACTGCACTGCCGAGTCAACCTGGCAATCGGGTCGGGTTTCACCGGGTCAACCCCAACCAAACCCGTGCCCGAATCAACTATCGGGTAGAGTGCATGCCCATGACCCTACCCATGGGTCTCAACTCGGACCCATGCCCAAACCCGGCGGGTCACCCGAACCGATCGGGCATCCATCGGGCACGCACGCAGTAGCTCAAACACATCGATCTGGTATATTTATAGCCTTGCTGTTGCTCCCTTCTTTGCTACGTTGGCGAGGTGGTACTAATTCACCTACGTGAAGCGGCTGCGCCAGCGTGTGTGTAGCTAGTCCAAGTTTGCATGGGCCGATAGAAAAGGACAAGAGTAGCAAGGGCCTGCTACAGCGTGCTAGTACAGTAAGTGGGTTGTGTGATCTACTATAGAAGGTGGGCTGTGTATTGAGTGGCTAGCAAATGGAAGCAGCGGGTCATATGTACCATATGGAAAAAATGTAGTAGTGGGAAACCAGGTCACTAGTTTAGGGTGTTTTTTATACTGAGACACACATGTCAGTTAATCTGGTGACCCATCAGGCGACCCACGGGCAGGACTTTATGCCCATACCCTACCCATGAGTAATCTGGTGACCCATCGGGCTTACCCATGGGTGAAGATAGTGACCCATACCCTACCCATTCGGGTTGGGTGCCCATGGGCGCGGACACCCATGGGTCGGATTGCCGGGTTGACTGCCGAGGGCGTAGACTGGGTCGACCAAGCCCCACCACCAACCAGCGGTCCCCGTGCTTGATGGGGTCGGCCTCGGAGTCCCGTCGACGTCGTCGTGGATCGCCTCCTGGCATTTCTTTTCCGGTGGTTTTCTCTTGGTTCGGAGGTGGATAGAAAACGAGAAAACCGAGCAATCAAACAGGACTAGGAAAATAGCCGTGCTTGACTACGGACGTATTAAGCCATGGCCATCGGCTCAACATATCCACTTCAGCTACGTCACCGACTCCCGACTGGACCGGCACCAGCATCATGTTCAATTCTTTGTCTACATGGCCATATATATATAACTGTACTCTGTTACTGTCGGAGATTTTTCTATTTATATAAATTTGGCCAAGCGTAGGTAAACTGACTTCTAAACAACATAGTAAACCTTATATTTTGGAGCGGGGGAGTACATTCAACTTCACCATTTGAGCATATATACAGTGTATTTTGCCTTGTATGTAGACCAAGCGAACATTGAAAAGGACTAAGCTAACAAGCAAATCTTGAATAACAATAAAATCTTTGGGGGTATAGAGGGAACCAAACACTTTGCACCGGAAAAATGGAATAGAAATACGCTTGTATTTACAGAAGTGTATAACTCGCCTTATACTTTCAATTGGAGGGAGTAATGCCTAGCCAAACAATATTCTGGCTAGGTTGTTAAGCTCGAGCATCATTTTTTAGCCAGACAATGTTCCTTTCCGCAGTAGATATCAGCCCAAGACAAAGTGAACTACCATGTAACCCAGTCAAAAGAGCTGCTTCCACAACATTGGCAGTAGCACCCCATGTATACAATTCAGGTCCCGCACTTCGCCTTCCAGTATTGATTCTTGGGAAACATTTCATCATATAAGACAGCTTCAGAACACTCTAAATAAACAAGGGTTACTTCATAATGCTACAAGGAATTGCAAAGCCTTGGTGTGCCAGTATGTACCACTCTCTTATTACACTATAAAAATTATCAGAGAAGCGAAAAACACTGTCAGACAGCCACAAGATAAGCCTGGTGGTCAAACTTGTTTTAGATGAGAACATGGGATATTGGGATCATCCCACAGATGGCTGAACATAACAGCTCAAAGCTGATGTTAGAGAACATAAAGTGCAAGAGTATTGAACAAGCCAGAAAGATTGTAGGCCACCTGCGGCTAATGTGGTACTCCTACCATCTTTCGTGGTGGAGTAGCGGAATAAAGCTCCAAATTTTAAGAGCAACTTCCTCGGCGTATAGCGAGTATAAAAGGATGAAAATGGTAAGTTGCTCCGAGAATTTGCTCATCGCATGACGATAATGAAGATAATCCTCATTGCCTGCTTGTAGCTCCTTTACATGACGAAGGCTTGAGTTCAAATTTCAAGCATGCTAAAATGATTTCCAAGAACATACAACAGGCACCGGTGTTCAAGTCAAATCTGAACATGAAGAAAAATGCTGATAGGAGAAACACAAATTGTTTGCAGATAATACAGAAATATAGATTCCTAGATGAATAGGGTTCTTGTAAAAAGGGAGCATCAAACTTCAGGTCATGCCGGTGTGTTTGCTCCTGAAACAGGTTCAGGACGTCTCGGGGAGTTAGTCCCACCTCCCTCTCTTGGCTTCCGATATTTTGCAATTGCACTTGTCACAATAATTAGGAGCAGCAGGATTACTACAACACCGCCAACTAGTGCATAGACATACACTGAAGTCCTCAATTTGCGGCAGCTTCCCGCAGCAAAAGCTGTCATGAGAGCCAGCATATCCAATATCATGATCAAGTGCAATACCCCAAGTGACACAGCCTTCTTCCTGATAGATTTATTCAGCAGCAGCATGATGACGACAATGGATGCCATGAATGCGAAAGAATTGAACCAGAAGAAGATCTTGTACCGTCGGTGATTAATATCACGAAGGACGGGATTGCCTGGTACATGGTCCTTATCATCAGACCAAAATCCACCAGGTGGGTTCAGACCAGCTTGGTATGCGATCGATGCCGCTAAAATTGCAAGAAGCATCAGATACTTGTGTCTCTTTCTCACCTTTTCTTCTTCGACAACTGAAGCTTCTGGCCTCACGTCAACTGAAGCTTCTGACCTCACGTCAACTGAAGCTTCTGGACTCACAAGAGTGTTTACTTGTTCACCCTCTGCATGGAAGAGAAGATCGTGTAGAAATCCTAGACACTTAGCCAATGGTTTTCCCAGTGTATCATGCATCGAAGAGAGCAGAACTTGAATCAAAAGGGAGACCAGAACTCCCATAGCAATGGCGCTCAGATATATGGACTGTTTAATATTTCTGCAACTTCCTGCAACATAGGCAATGAGGAGGCCAAGCAAGCCCGCCACCAAACACACTCGCAGTGCATAGGACTTGATTCCATACTCACAGGATTCCTTATTCACAAGTAATATTGTGACGACCACAGATGACACAAATGAAACTGAATTTGAGTAGTAGAACACATCATAGCGTTTTGGATGGGTATCCTGAAGGATTGGATTGCCCGGAGTTCCCGTGGCATGCTTGTCATCAGACCAGACACCTCCTGGAGGGTTCATGCCAGCTTGGTATGTGACAGTCACAGCTAAAATAGAAATGGTCAATAGAAGATTACGCCGCCTTCCCAACTCCTTCTCACTAGTACCGCTCCCAGTCTGGTTGTCGCCTGATTGACGTGGCACTGAGCAAAAAAGACTAACTGACTGCTCTAGCATCTCTGCCACCTGCCTTCTCCATCCTGGAGGAATTATATGTACTGCTATCAAGACATGAATGAGAACATAAGCAAGTACACTGCATACAAGCACTGATATGAAAATAGTCTTCTTTGCCTCCCTGCAGTTCCCCAAAGCAAAAGCTCCGGTCAGGGAAAGTAGGACCACTATCATTGTTATTGGCAATGCACGCCATTTGGTAACCTTGTCGCTCACCATCTTGTTCAAGAGCAAAGTGATCATGACAATGGATGCCACAAAGGCGATTGCATTGAGATAGAAGAATGCAATGAACCGGCGATGGTGGGTGTCCTCAAGGATGCGATCAGCAGCTGAATGATGATCTTTACGTCTTGACCAAAATCCACCTGGTGGATTCAGGCCTGATTGGTATGCCAGAGATACTGCAAGAATGGCAAGAAGCAACATACATGTGCGGGTCTTCTTCAGATGCTTCTCAGTTCGAATGCCGTCAGCATTTTGATTGGGTACTACTTGATTGCTGTCAATATGTCCATTCTCAGATTGTGTAGGATAGTTATCACTGATACGAATCTCAGTACGAGGATTATCAGCTTCAACCACAATATTTTGTTCAGCACGGTCCGCATTACCAGCGGCTCCCACATGTTCAGAAAACCCTTCATCCACTATGTCATCACTAGTGTCTCCATTACTCTGACTGGCTGAGATATTTTGCTTGGGTAAAGGAACAGTGATCTCGGGATCATCAGCTGAAGAATGCTCCTTCATACTTGCAATTTTCTGGTCATCTGACACACGGCACATGCTATTTGCAGTTTGGCTTAGTAATGGGTCATACTCTTGCTCAGTGCTAGATTTAGCTGCCTCCATACTTGCATCTTGCTTGCCTTCTGTAGACCCATACTCCCAGTTAGACACGACACCCATGCCATGTTCTGATCGTTGACAGTTCCCAGCAGGATGCGGTGAGCTGGACACATCCTCATCCATTTTTGCAACACGCTGGACATCTGGAGACTGGCACTCTGTGTTGGACGCAACATCCTGGATATTTGCTGATTGCTGGCTGTTCCCTGACAGATGCTGTGAGTTATCCACAGCCTCTTCATCATCTGAAATATGATTTCTTTCTTCTGCAGGTGCATGCTCCTCATAGGACACATCCTCTCTGATATTTGGAAGTTCCTCTGCAGGCTGGTCTTGTGGCTCAGGAGTATTATCTTCTGCAGGTGCATCAGTTGAACGGACTGAAGGTTGATGATTGCTTGCGTAAGAATTGTCCTGCTCTGCATTGCTTGATCTGTGGCCACGAAAGCTCAATGAAAGTGCACGACCCAATTTTCTCACACACCACAGGCTGCTTGATTTGACCTTTTGTAGCCAATTTGCTACAGGCCTGGTAACAAAGAATCCAGCTAAAATTGCAAAGGAGATCCAAACTATGACGATGATAAACACCACATAGAATGATGTTGCTACATCTCTACAACATCCTGCAGCATATGCAACAATTAGGCACAATAGGTCCACTACCACACATACAATCATTGCTTTGGTCCTTATTCCATGTCCACTCAATTTTGGGCTCAGAAGTAGTATGATTATGACCAAAGATGTCACGAAGGAAGTTGAATTGGAAGTGATAAATATATTATAACGACGAAGGTAGTTACTTTTGAGAACAGAAGTAGCCGGATGATGATTGTAAAGAGGAAGGGCCATATGCAGCTTATTAGAACCATGGTTGTTTTCAGCCCAAAAGCCGCCCGGTGGATTCAATCCTGCTTGGTAGGTGATAGTAGCAGCAAAAGTTACAAGCATCAAAATGAACTTGCGAGCCTCCTCAACGTTCTCTAAAGGGATGCTCACTTGCCTCACAAGGAAACCCCGTTTGATTAGAACTGTATTTATCATGTTCTGCAGATTCCGTTTCAATTTTCTTGGAATAAACCTTGTGGATACTAGGGTATGGATCCCAACATATATGATAACAGCAAGGACTAGAACCCAGATGTAAATGGATGATTTGAGTGCCCTGAAACTTCCGGCAGCATAAGCCCCCAGCAGGCTGAATAGGTCTAGTATCATGGTTAATTGCATTGAGTGGAGCCACATCCTCTTCCTTGTCACACTCTTACTGAGAAGCAAGATGATTAAGACAAGAGATGCAGCGAAGGCTGCTGCATTGCAGTAAAAGAACACCTTATATCGTTCAGAAAAGCCATCATGCATGACAGGGTCACCAGCAAGATGACCATCCACGTTTAGTGTCCACGATCCCCCTGGCGGTGTTAATCCAGCATTGTATGTCACACCAACTGCTAGGACTCCAAGAAGTACCAAATATTTACGATGTCTCCACAATAGCTCAAAATCATCATTGTTGCTGGAGCTGGATACATGGCAAGAGGGTAACAAATTTCTGCTGGATGTGACATTGATGGGATCTTGCCTCGTGGTGTTGATGTTCGTCAGACCAATGGTGACCACGAACTGCCCACTGTCTGCCATGTGGTTGCTAAAGTCTCAGGCTTTCAGTTGCTCTCTATGCCTCCATCTGGAGCATCAGGTAAGAGTTTCTTGGATGGAGAAGGTATCTGAAGGATTCAAGGATAATTCAAGGATGGTCATGAACAAGAAAAAACAAAGAAGGTTGCTAGAAAGACGGACTTGGTGAAGTCTATCCCAAACAAAAACAACACAAAAGAGAGCGCATCAAAGGCTAACTTGCCTATTAGATATATGAATTATTATTTTCAAACAGTAACCAGCATACAAATTATTAGCTCATGTTCATGGACTTCTCCAGAAAAAAGGTAGTTAATGTTGTACTAAGTTGGCCCCAACCAACTATCAGAGTCCACACTGGGTTGGTGTTAAAAGACGAAAGCATATTGTCAGTTTATTAAAATCTTAAAAGGACCAATCCCATTGTATATACTGTAACTAGATGAATTTCCTGTGTGATTCTACATATTACAATACAGATGATCATGTTTGACCATAGAGTTCTATTAGTTATAAATTTGAATGTTTATGGTTGGAAATTAGTTGTGTTTCTCCTTCAACAATAACATCATATACATGATTGAACTTTACCGTTATAATCTGACCCCACCAAATTAAGTGATCTAGATCTTTCCCTTTGTTTTTCTTCCAACTGCTATTACCACAAAACACACATAAGACAAGTAGTAATACTTGTTGGTTGAGACACTAACAGATTATAAAGGGTACCTAGTAAAATTAATTGCATTCAATGGTAGGTTACGCACATTGAAGCCTAACAACCGAACACACAAATAGAAAGTAAAAGATTATACCTGGCATGGAAAGCATGCAACGCTCAGTCACACGGGAAGGCTGCCTCATTAACCATAAACGGTTGCGAGTGAGCTTGCGTCCAGAGCGATAACCAAAATAGCGGTCCAGATATTTCCCTTTGGGTTTCTCTGAATACCTAGATCCGACTGCTATCACCAGAAAACACACACATATAAATAAGTGTTTGTTCGTCGAAGAACTAACAGCTGCTTGGTTTTTTTGATGCCAGATTATATCTGGTAACTAGTAAGACTAACTGCAAGTAGAGAGGTTCAACAGGCGATGGAATATATCAGTGGCGGCCCTAAGATCGTAGTGTTGGGGGCGGGGAGCACAGATTACGTCCATAATGTATGAACAACATAACTTTAACACATCCATTCAAAATTTGTGAAAAATACACTAGAAATTGTAATTTAATCTGGATATCATCATAAGTTTAACAAATAGTCACAAAACATGATTTAAATTTTTAAAAACTAGTACGTATTAAATATATGAGATAAATTATTTTGCATTTTACCGAGGGGGTGCCATGGCGCCCATGGAACCCCTACTAGATCCGCCCCTGGAAATAATGCATCCATGTCTAATAACCGAGCACAGAAGAGAAACTAAGAATCATCACCCTAAGATAATAAACTAAGAATCATACCTGGAATGAGAAAGCAATGCAATGCTCGTCAGATAGGCATAGTCACAGGAATGACTGCCCTCATTAGCTATCATACATCAGCCCCTAGCCGAGCTTGCTGGTTTGAGCTTGTATCCAGATGTAACTAGTAAAATTGCCTGCAAGCGGAGAAGTGGCAGACCATTGGCAATGGAAGCTATGTATCCATGTCGAAAGCCCAGGAAGAGCAAGTAAGAATCCTACCTGAAATGGGAAAGCTTCGAATGCTCAGTTGCTCACTCGGAATGGCTGCCCCGTTGGCCTGGCTGAGGTTGCGGCTTTGAGCTTGTATCCAGAGCGACGGCTGCTGCTCAGACTACTGAGGGACAACCTGTGTTCTTCAAAGATAGCTGAGTTCGTCCAGTGCCAACAATGGTGAG